GCTCGAAGACATGCAGTTGCGTGCCTGGTGTGGGGGCATGCAACTGGCCCCCTCTTCTCTCGTCGATGCTCTCGCTGACAAAACAAAGGTCCCCAGTTGCAACGACATTAGAAGACATGTTGTTCCATGCCTAGTGTGGGACATGCAACTAACGCCTCTCCCTGTACAACAAAATTGGAAGTCGGCTTGCAACCAAGTTAAGAGACATGCAGTTGCGATCAAGCTAGAAGACATGTAGTTGCATGCCTAGTGAAAAGAAAATGCAAAAATCATGCTTAAAATATAAGGAAAAAAGATACTCCCGCTACAAATGAATATAAAACATGTCAGGTCACTATTTTATTTATTTAAAAAATCAAAATAAAAAAATCTATATTACACTCGGTCACGACTCCTTAATTCATGGCTAACTTGGTGTGCATGAGAGGACTTGAACTCTTAATTTAATTTAAATAACCAAATGAAAAAAATGGAATACCCAAAACTGGAAAATTAAACATTTTCATTTTTTGAAAAAAAATGAAGGTCATATGACAAAAAACTCTTAAAATATTATTTTGTTGGCCCCGGCAAAAAAGGACCAGTTGCAACCATGTCGGAAGACATGCATTTGCACTTGGGGGGTGACACTTGCAGGTGCATGCATAGTGTATAAACACGCAACTGCTCTCTGCCTCTCTGACCGAATCTCCGTGAAAACAAAGTTCAGTTGGAGTAGGGGACAATACTTACAGTTGCATGCCTAGTTTACACATGCAACTACTCCCCTCTCCATGCCACCATTTCGACAAAAATAAAGTTCAGTTGCAAAGACATGCAATTGTAGTTGGGGGTGACACTTGCAGTTGCATGCCTAGCGTATACATGCAATTGCCCCATGCTCTTCCGTCGCCCCTCCAACAAAAGAAAGTCTAGTTGCATCATACTGGAAGACACGCAGTTGTAGTTAGGGGTGATGCTTGAAGTTGCAAGCCTAGTGTACACATGATATTTTACTCGCTCTCCTAATGCCCTACGACAAAACAAAAGTCCAGTTGCAACCATGTTGGAAGATATGCAGTTGCAGCCGGGGGCAACACTTGCAGTTGCATGCCTAGTGTATGCATGCAGCTGCCCCCGCCTCTGCCGCCGCCCTTCCAACAAAACAAAGCCCGGTTGCATCGTGTTTGGAGACATGCGACTGCAGTCGATGGCGACGTTTGTAGTTCCAAGAGCCTAGTGGTACACATGCAATTGTCCCTTCCTAAGAAAGCATCACAGAGTTGTAGTCGACTTGAAGACATGCAATTGCAACTAGGGGCAATAAGTGCAGTTACAGGCTTAATGACAGACTTGCAACTAGCCCTCCCGGCAAAAATACCACAGAGTTACAGTCGCGTTGAAGATATGTAGTTGCAGTTGGGGAAGACACTTGCAGCTAAATGCCTAGTAGGAGACATGTACTGCCCCCTTACCCGACAAAATCATCACAGAGTTGCAGTCGAATTAAAGACATGCAGTTGCAATTGGGAACGACACTTGCAGTTGCATGCCTAGTGACAAACATGCAATTGTTCCTCCCGAGAAAACACTACAGAGTTGCAGTCCCATTGAAGAAATGTAGTTGCAGTCGGGGTGACACTTGAAGTTACGTATTGGTGGCGGGCATGCAACTACCCCTCCCCTGACAAAACACCACCAACTTGCAGTCGCATCGAAGACATGCAGTTGTAGTCGGGGGTGACACTTGTAGTTGCATGTTGGTGGCAGACATGCAACTGTGGCCCTCCTAGACAAACATCACTAAGTTGAAGTTGTGTCAAAGACATGCAATTATAGTCGGAGGCGACACTTGCAGTTGCATGTTGGTGGCAGACATGCAACTGCCCCCTCCCTCGACACAGACCACCAAGTTGCAGTCTCATTGAAGACATGCAGTTGCAGCCAGGGTCAACACTTGCAGTTGTGTGTTGGTGGCAGACATGCAACTACTTCCTCCCCCTGACAAAACACCACCAAAGTTGCAATCATGTTGACGACATGAAGTTGCAGTAGTTAGTGACACTTGCAGTTGCATGCATAGTGATAGACATGCAATTGCCCACACTTGCCGTCATTTTTTTGCAGGGAGCCCACACTTGCAATCTTTAATTGCAGGGAGACCACACTTGCCATTGTCGTGTAAAATAAATAAAAAATTAAAATGAGACATACCTTACACATAAGAGGCACATGTGGACCGTGTGCAGATGGCACATGTGTGCATAGCAAATAAAAAAACAATATAAGAAAAAGATAAAAACTAGATATGTGCAACTATATTGAAAAATTAGTTATATTGAATAATTTTTGGAAATAGAGTTTCAAGCAGCCGATGAACACCAACGAGTGTGCAACCATATTTACGCGCAAGAGAAATTACATAAAATATTCATGTTACATTAAAAGGTTTTCTATTCGTTATAAAAATTTTAATTTTAGAAGAACAAAATTATTTATATGAAAAAAATTATAATTTTTTTTAATTATTCATGTATTCACAAAAAAACTTTAGAAAATAAAAGGTGGGAAAAAATAAAAATGAAAAACATGACAATGCTGGACAAGAGAAAAAAATCACGTTCACAACCAGCGCCCACTGCACCACAACAAAAGCAAAATTAAAATGAAAAAAATAAGAACAAGTCACATGAAATGCATAGAAAAAGCCCCCCACACCTCCTCGTCCATCGTGCAAAACCCCTGCTCCCCGAACAAAAAAAAGTCCAAACAACCAAAAAAACACATAAAAATGATAACCGGGTTGGGCATGCATTAACAGGCCTAAACAAGACAAACCCACTCCAGCACGAATCTTGAAGCAAAGTAATGATCTGATGGTTGACGCATCGACTAAGACTTCGCGAAGTCTCAGTGGACCGAGATTTAGCAGCACAGATGAATGAAACAAAGTAACTATGATGAAAAAGAATAGGCAACATACAAATAAACAAATAAAACAATAAATCCATATGGAAAAGACATCAACAAGTGAGAGTAAAAATCGGTCGACATGTCTGTTCTATAAAATTTTAGATGTTCAACATTTCGAAAATAAGAAAAAAAAGCAAGTAAAAATATCATAATAAAAAGGAAATGACAAATAGATAAATGAAAATAGAAAAGGGAAAAAGAAGGGACAAGGTACACGTGTATTTATTGTACACACAAGCCCAACAAAGAAGTAGAAGAAAGGAAAATACAAACGAAATCACTAATTAAGGAGTACTCATTGCAAAGAACACTTCACTTTTCAGGCCGCGACAAGTGGCGCACATGCAGCGCGCCACTTGTCGCAACCTGTGAGTTTTCCCTTTTTTCGTAGATCCGTTTATTCAAAATGTTTTATCTCTTAAACCGTGCGTTTAAATCTCGAACTGTTTTCATCATTAGATTCCTCGCGTTGAGATCTTCAAAATTAGATCCCATGTTGATAGGTTTTGACGAACTTTTTTTTCATCAAAAAAATCAGACAAAAAGAACCAGGCGAAAAAACCGAATCGGGAGCGCGGTTTTTTTATTTCTGAAAGAGGCACGCCTGTGCCTCTCGCAAAATCACAACCATGCCTCTCGTGAAAGCAAAACCGTTACTCTCGTGAAAGGAAAAAACAGAAAACACATTTTTTTTCGTTTTCGAGAGGCACGGCCGTGACTCTCGCGAAGGCACAACCGTGCCTCTCACTAAACAAAACCGTGACTCTCGCGAAAGAAAAAAAACAGAAAACATGTATTTTTTCCCTTTCCTAGGGGCATGGCCGTGACTTTCGCGAAAGCACAACCGTGCCTCTCGCGGAAGCACAACTATGACTCTCACGAAAGAAAAAAAAACAAAAAACGCGTTTTGTTTTTCCCTTTCCTAGAGGCACGGTCGTGACTTTCACGAAAGCACAACTGTGCCTCTCACGGAAGCAAAACCGTGACTCTCACGAAAGAAAAAAAAACAGAAAACGCATTTTGTTTTTCCCTTTTCTGAGAGGCACGGCCGTGACTCTCGCAAAAGCACAACCGTGCCTCCCGTGAAAGCAAAACCGTGACTCGCAAAAGAAAAAAAACAGAAAACGTGTTTTTTTTTGTTTCCGAAAGGCACGGCCGTGACTCTCACTAAAGCACAACCGTGCCTCTCGCGGAAGAAAAACCGTGACTTTCGCGAAAGGAAAATAAAAGAAAACGCATTTTTTCGCGCAAAAAAGTTTTTGTTGATTGAAAAGCTAAGAAAGACTGGGGGAAACCAAAACGTCGAAAAAAATCTGAAAAAAAATTGTTTAAAAAGCCGAAAACACATGCGAAAAAATAAGAAAAAATTCGAAGGGAGCGTCCAAAGCGCGACACGTGGCGAATGGCTGAGAGCGCGCCAAGTGACGCTGATCGTTACGAGGATCCCGATGGAGCACTCGTTAACTAGTTGCTCCCAAATACAAAATATTTGCATGGGAGATCTATGAGAAAATAAAAAGCAAAAAAAAAAAAAAACTGAAAAGGACCGCAAGCCACAAACCAAGCAAGGCCACATCTCCGTAGCTGCTCACTGCAGATTTACCCGCTGGGACAAAGCCCATTACACTTTGAACGAGGGAATACTTTAGGGAGCGACAAAACACAGATCAATATAATCGTACACCTAATCTCGTCGACTGAGACATGGCTATTTCTCTGGGTCAGAAAATCAATTGACCACAAAACTAAAATTCAGCTGACTGAAATCTAAACCGGTGGCCTCATTCTCTCGACACGATCTCGTAAAAGAACTCACGAAATAGGTCTATGTTGCATGTTCACATACACATCACAGTACACAGAACTACACAACCCACAAGCGGCAGGGGCACTAACACCCAACTAAATCTGCTAGCTATCCAGCTCAAGGAACGTACATCACCATTACACAGCACAGTGGAACCACCTTAGCCCACACATGAAACTCAACAAGAACATACTACAATATACAGTGGAGCCATCATCGACCAGCGTACGACGACGACGGCTTACTTCTTCTTCTGCAGGCTGATCGATTGCTTAGCCACAGCGTGCGCCGCCGAGCTCGCCAGGGACGACTTCTTGATGTGCCCCTTTGGGTCGAGCGCTTTCCGGATCTTGAAGACGGCCCACGCGACCCCAAGAGCGTTTCCGGTGGCGTGGAGGTAGTCCTGTGTGATCTCTCCTGCCTGATCACCGTACCTGCAAAATAGAGGGAGATGATATCAACGATCCTATCAACAAATGATCACTGGGCCAAAGATTTTGCTGAACCAAGAACATTTGGAATTCTGAATGAAGCATAGATGCAACGCGGTGCATGTACATTACCTGTGCGTTACAACTGAAGTAGTGACAACTGACGATGTTTTCATCACGTTCTTTCCAGACACCTCAACAGCGTCCCAAACTTTACCTGAACCATCGAGTAAGTAAAGAGTCAACAAATAATAATATGTGATGCAGCAACTGTTTGCACATATCAAATCTAAAGAGGTGGCATGCTATAAAATCTTATTGCAGCCAACATCAGGGCCCTTGCATCCAATACAGTATTCGGGCAAGCCAACCGGCAAACCACTGTTTTGGGCTCTTGAACTTATACAAATAGAATTCTGACCACATATTAGCAGCTCTTATAGCTGTTTTAGAGTTCAGTTAAGGCATGTTAACCCAGTGCACTCTACAATAGTACACTAAATACCTGGGATTTGCTTGGGAGGCCCAATATAGAGCATAAATAAAATCCAAATCATAATATGATTTCATCCTATCTGGTGCTTTGGTGATGTGACCATTAATCCCATGCATATTTAGATCAACAAATTCAATTTTTATTCGGAACAGAATCACGGACTACCTAGACTTCTAACTTAAAAGTTCAGAAACAACAGAATACCTAGCATTCTACTAGCTGCCTTTATATTCAATCATTTCACAAGGATACAGATAAAAATGGTTAAACTTCATATTTTGCCAAGCAAATGTAACATGCGCAGCTAGTGGCAAACGCTTACCAAATCCGTCCAGCGAAGCAAGAATAACTTCGCCAGGCATTAACTTGAAGAACTTCTGTGCGGGTTTGGAGTTGACTACAGTGCTGGTAACAAATCCCGAGACCTTGAGAACACCTGAGAGAATTGAATTTGCTACCTTGTTCGACATTTTAGTGACCCTTCTGGCCCTGCAGAAGACAGAAGAGAAATGCATAAATTGATTACCTTAAATATAGAGCAGATCTATATATACCCTATTTATTGCACATCTAAGTGCCTCAATCAAACATAAAAGGAAAAGAAAAAGAGAAAGGGAAAGACAATGTTCGCACGAATCTCTACGTAAAATCAATGACATAGGACTTAGATGTGCAATACTTAGGGCACATCTAAATGTGTTTTAGCAAAACTGTAAATATTTCTATAAACATGATAACAATTAGTCAATAAACAACCTAAAGGGAAATGAAATTATCTCAGAATAAGAGAGATTAGGATAGCGACCCATACAGTCAAAACAAAATAACTTCTACCTATGCTGCTATGCATATTTCCATTAAGAAATAGTGCTAGTACTATACTGAGTAGCTTGCCAGTTCAGCTAAGGCATGCATTGATAAGGATCCGGATCAAGTTGAAAACATCTCACACTAAATGCACACATGTCGGCACCATAATGGTATCTTTAAATTTATAGCATCATAATGCACACATGTCGGCATGGCAAAGATATCACTCGTCGTTATCAAGATATGCCAGGTGTCTTCCAGGATAGGAAGCAAATAATGGACACTGGTGGCATTGGCTAAGTTAATGGTCAATTTTTTCATAATAAAGATGTGTCGTCCTCTTAATGGGGGTTACATCTGGGTGAGACATTTTGTTTGCACAACCAAAAAAGGGTTTGTCTTCTTGTCCATGTCCTTTTTTAGACACAGAAGAGAACATGAAGAAGACCCTACTGGAGTATCTGACAAACAAAAGACCCTGCTCTGTTGAATAGAGCTACAATAGAACTTCATAATTTTTGCTAGTAATAATAAAAACAATGTAACGCATAATCAATACTTATTTTCTGTTCAATAAGTGCAATGCAATGGAGGACTAGTAAGAACCCTGACTATTCTGGACATGACATGTAACGAAGCTATAACTGATTATCCAAATCCTGATCTTAGACGATCCAAGTAATGGCAAAAGGTGAGTCATCTCATTCATTAAATTTTAGTTCATCCAATGCTGCAGCTTAACAGGAGCAGTAGAAATGTAAATTTAGCGTATCATTTAGTTCGTCAAATGCCAGATTAAGAAAGTGCATCTAAGCTACTCCAATGTGAGCTGCTCTGCAATATATAGAGAGAATAGTAAGTTTCTTCATCCATACCTCTTCATCCTCTTGAGGGAGCTCGGCTTCACCTGCGTATGCTTGCCGTTCGCCCCCGCGCCCTTCTTCAACACCGCCTCCCCGCATTTGAGGCCCGTAGCTGTGATGTCCCCGCACCAGATGATGCCCCTTACCAGCTGCCCGGAGCCCTTGGCGATAAGCCTCGCCACCGACGAGCTGTAGTCGTCCACGTTGGGCGCGATTGTCGTCCAGAACGCCGCGGACTGCTCCTCAATCTCCTCCTTCTTGTCCCCGGCAGCCTCCTCCGGCGTGATCTCCGACACCGCCCTAGTGTCCATGACCTCCGACTTGCCGCCGGCCTCCTCGTCGACCTGCTTGACGGAGAAGGTTGTGTACTCCTTGAGGACCCTGTCCAGCTCCTCCAGCACCTGCTCCTGCCCTTTCCCGGCGACGGTGAGCCCGTAGCTCAGCGCCGCCTCCCGGTCCGCGTCCGTCTCCGCCTCGGCGTCCTCCTTGTCGTCAGGGTGGTCCGAGTGCGGGACGTGGAGCGAGAAGAAGTAGTGGCCGGCGTCGAGCTTGACGACGGCGACGTCGCCGGCGAGCGGCCACTGCACGGGCTCCTGCGCGTCGCTGGAGCGGCCGCTGCTGAGGAAGCCGAAGACGCCGCGTCGCTTGTGGGCCTTGTCCGGGGTGAGGCGCGCGAGGACGGCGACGCAGTGGTCGCCCTGGCGGAGGCGCACGATGGAGAGCGTGCCGGCGCCGAGGTCGAGGCTGCGGTCCGGGTCGACGAGGTGGAGCTGCGCGCCCGGCACGTCGACGAGGGTCTCCTCCACCGTGGGCGGGGCCGGCGCGGCGTCCTCGGCCGCGTCGGCTGGGAAGAGGTTCTCGGCCATCTCGTGCGGGTCCATGGTGGGGTAGAGCGACTCGCCGCCGGTGCTGCTGGCGGCGGCGGGATTGTACTGGAAGGCGGTGTTGTGGTCGGGGTGGGACTGGGGTACCTCCGGGTACATGCTCTGCTGCTTGGAGGCGGAGGCCATGGCGGATTCGCTGGTCGGCTGCTGCGTCGTGTCACACACAGTTCGCCGGATCGAGAGGGGAACGTGGTGGGGATGAAACGGGCGCAGGGGATTTTAATACTACGCGAGGGGTGGAACCGGCGAGGGCGACGGTTCATTCGCGGTGGCGCCCAGGTGCGTGGGGATTTCCTGCGCCCGTGACGGCGACGCGGAGCTGGTCGGCAGCGTGTCAGCCTGTCAGGGACGAGACGGCCGTGCTTCCGCGGCGGCACACAGGTGGGCACAGAGATGGCGGTGGCAAAGGGGGATCCCGATAGACGAGAAGACTTTGGAAGAAAGGAACCGGAAGGCAAGGGAGGAGGACGCGTAGACACCGTCGGGAACAGCTCACCGGCCACGGAGGCGCCGGCAAAAGAATATGGCTTTGGGAAGGCCAACACGAACTGGCGCGCTCCAGAGTTCACGTGTGTGCAGCTTCTCGGTACCTGGCGGTCCGCCGTTGCACAACTTCGGAGCGACGATCGACGGTGGTAGTACGTTGGCTTCCGTTCACCGCGTCGCCGACGGCAGACGGTAGTCAACATGTTTTCTGTTTCCGCCGACGTGCACGGGCGGGCCGGCGGGACAGCGCGGCGGAGCGGTGGGCATCAAATCTATCATCGGGCTTCCACATTTGTCTGCGCATTTTCTTCATCTTTACGAACGTCGTTGGTTGTCCGCGTGGTTTTTCACACTTTGCATATTGGTCCCAGCTGGCCTGACTGTGAAGAAATAGGGGGAAAAAACTATGATTTGCACATCGTTTGGCTGTGTGCATTAGAGCAACTCCAACCGACGCGACTCCCCCGACGTGCCGTTGGCACACTGACAGATGGCCCCGGGCCCTGTCAGTGGCCCCACGTCAAGGGTGCAGTACGTCAGATGATCCTGGTCCAATTCCAACGCGCCGATCCAAACGAATTTACGGTTTGTTCGCTTTTCGTCCGTTTGGGTCGGCCAAGCAGACGGGTGCGCCTGCTTTTTCATATGGGTCGGCTTGAGCGCCTAACAAAAGGCGGATCCAAATTTACGTGCATATAATAGAAAAACAAAATGAACCACGCATGGCAAATATAACAAAAATAGGAACTTAATTTACAATAAATGTCCGGTCATCCGCGACCAAAGTCCACTTAAACTTAATTAAACATTCATAAAAACAAAAACTAAAAGTTGGTGTCCGCACGTAGTCCTAGGCGTCGGCCTTACCCTTGCCATCGTCATCGTCGCCGGCAAGGTCAATGAAGACGGGAGGCGGCCTAGTCCAACCGAAGGCGGCTTGATAGGCCGCCAGGGCTGCCTCCTCCAACGCCTGCTGCGGCGGAGGCAATGTCGCGACGCGGGCGCGCTCCTCCTCTTCCTCCCGCTCCCTCTGCATGCGCTGCTCGGCGTCTGCGCGCTTGTTCGCCAGCCGACCCTGCCGCCAATGTTCGGGGTACATGGCCTCCTACGCCGGCGTGGCACCAAGCCAAACCGGGGGGAGGGGGGTGCTGACGAACTCATGCACCTGGCCGGTCCAGACGTACCTCTTGGCCGTCTTGGGCGCAGGTGTCATTGGGGTTAGCCACGGCGGCGACGGCGGCAGCACACAATCGCCTGTTGTCGGTGAGAACGACACATATGGGATCACTGGGATCCTTTCTACGGTCGGCGGGCGCGGGGTCGTGAGAAGAGCAGGTTTAGGAGCTAGCACACGGGTCGTTTACCCAGGTTCGGACCGCGAGAATGCGTAAAACCCTAGTCCTGCTTTGGTGGATGTATTGAGTGTTCTTGAGCTTTCTAAACTAGCTACGGTGGCTGTGCTGTCTCAAAAAGCCGAATCCCTCTTCTAGTCGCCTCGGGCCTCCTTTTATAGGAAAAAGGGGCTGCCACAGTGGCACACAGGAGGTGAAAAGGCCTACAGTGCTGTAACACCCTCGATGCGACTATAGCTCCCACGTGTCGAGGCACGACTTAGAGACATAATCGCATTGAAGACATATGTCGCAAGTTAGGCAATCTTCACAAACATCCCATGTAATGTAATAACAAAAGGGGAGATAACTTAGTTGGCTTACACTCGCCACGTCAATCAAGTACATAAATTAACATTACATCATCCAAACACTCATGGCCCGACTACGGCGCCAAAATAAAAGAGAACCCAACATGCGACACGGTCCCAATCACCCCCAACTGGGCACCACTACTGATCATCGGGAAAGGAAACATAGTATCGTTGAGAGTCTTCGTCGAACTCCCACTTGAGCTCATACGCGTCTCCTGGAGCGGAATCATCGGGCCCTGCATCTGGTGTAATAGTAATCTGTGAGCCACAGGGACTCAGCAATCTCGCACCCTCGCAATCAAGACTATTTGAGCTTAAGGGTATGGTAAGGTAAAATATAAGTGGAGCTGCAACAAGCGACTAGCATATATGGTGGCTAACTTATTCGCAAAAGAGAGCGAGAAGAGGAGGCAAAGCACGAGCGAGAAACTAGAGAGCAACCTGCACAAACATTACTCCAACACCGTGTCCACTTCCCGGACTCCGCCGAGAAGAGGCCATCACGGTAACACACTCGGTTGATTCATTTTAATTAATTATGGTTCAAGTTATCTACAACCGGACATTAACAAATTCCTATCTGCCCATAACCGCGGGCACGGCTTTCGAAAGTTCAATCCCTGCAGGGGAGCCCCAACTTAGCCCATGACAAGCTCTCACGGTCAACGAAGGAATAGACCTCCTCCCAAGACGTTCCGATCAGACTCGGTATCTCGGTAACTCAAGACACTTCGACAGGTTAAAACAAGACCAGCAACACCGCCCGAATGTGCCGACAAATCCCGATAGGAGCTGCACATATCTCTTTCTCAGGGCACACTCGGATGAGCAAGACGTCGGGTAGGCCAGCCCAAAGTTGCCCCTCGTAGCCCTGGACATCGCTCGGTTGTACCAACACTCA